TCGGTGCGTTAGGATGGCTGACCGTTTGCTACGAGGTTTCTAGTGTTAATACACTGTTCTCCTTCTTCTCGGGGTAATTTCAGCGGCATGAACGAGCATCCCTCACGGAGGATAACGTGGCCTGCTCGCATAAATATTCCGCTGGAAGTTTATTACGTCAATAACGCATATCAAAGGAGGAATGAAAACCACAGTAACGAGATTGCGAAAAAGGAAAGAAAATCGTTATTCACAATAAAATCGCTGCCATTGATGTATGCTGCCGTTCAAAAGTTTGGAGAACCCCTTTCCATTCAAATAAATGAATACATATTTTCCTATGCATATTTATGTCATAATGATACAGTTTAAGCAGAAATTTTCTATGATCGTCACAGGGTGCATCGTATCGTAAATACTGTTCAAAAAAAGCTCTTTCAAAAACTGAAGCACCCTACAAATTTTTAAACTTGTATTCAATAATTAATGAGCATATTCTCTAGGATATATTCAGATCAGAGAAGCGATACGATAATCTTGGTTCTTTCAAATGAACCAGAAAACATTTGAAGTACTTCAGTTAGTCGTTACTTGGTAATAAAGTTTCTGTAATTTTGCGGAATACAGTCTTCAGAGCCTTCAAGTTCCAATTGCCTTTTCATTTATTGTTAATAATGAGGAGTATTTATTGATTACTTAAGCTTGTGAATTCTACTAATGCGTTCTTATAAAATCAATTATCGCCTTTTACATTTTCGTGTTCTCCTTGTTTAAGGATTTCTGCGATATGAAAGCAAGCAGGGACATCATTAGAAGGTGTTTCGAAGGGACTTCCATCCACAATCTGTTCGGTCTTAGAAAACACCATTATTGTGAGATGGGCATAGTCGAGATAGCTATTGAAGAGATAACGATGTCGCCCGGATAACGAATCCTATTGAATCAGATCTTCAATAAAGCTTCTAATATAGTCATAGGCCCCCCATTATTGCTCCGTGCGCCACACTTTGGGGTATTTGCCTCCCAAATGTGGTGAAAAACATTATCCACGTGAAATCATGCGTATAAGGTTTGTTTAGTAGAATTTGGTGTTGTTTTTGGTATCATTGGAAAAAGCAAAGCCTACTCTTCAATATAGAAAAAGAATTGAGTATTATTGTTCATAATTGAAATAGCTACAACAATTTTTATTCGACGTTGCTCGCGGAGCGTCACGTAGTCCTCGCATCAACACGGAATTTTTTATTTTAGGACTAACTTAGAAGAATGTCATGTCGTTTTTAGTATCATTGGAAAGACAAAAGCCTATTTAGTATAGTATAAAAATTGGTTGCATTACTCTATATATTGAAACAAACCATTTGATTCCATTTTCTGTGGAACAGTCTATGGAAATGAACGCTTGCATAAACGTCTGAACTGTAAGACCGACTGATAAATTTGATATTATCCGACTTCCATGATGGGAAACGAAAAGCGTGCACTTTAGGGTTAAATCGGTGATTTATATGTTGAAAAAGTACTCGAAAGTGTTTGGTTCTCCGCAGCCAGCAAGCGACTGTCTACGTTCCCCTTTTTTTATCGATTCGCCGAAGAAATTACTCTTACACGTTATCTCGCGATAGTTTGTTCCCGGGAAAGTGGGAGAATTATGCGTTTCTGTTCTATGAAAGGCCAACTACCGGGTTCTAGGGGGTCTCCTTTCGGCTCTTGTCATTTGTCTTCCTCCGCGATAGAAGCAAAGTTTCAAAGACCCCTCCAAGTTGCGTCCCAAGCGGTTACAAGTGAACGCCTCCCTAAATTTTCTTGCTGTAGGAATTAATGGCGGGGGCAAATTCTAAAATCTTCGTTAAACCCGCACGATATCCCGACGGTATCTAACGCTCCGATAGTTTGCCGCTGGCAAATAGAACCGATTCACTGGAAGGCTCGTGGTAATGAGAAATTTTCTTACTTAGATAACATTCAACAATTCTTACAAGTAACTTCCGTAAATAAACATATGCAATTCTAACTTCAATGAAATTTATTTATTCGAAGATAAACGAAAATCATTTTCATCTCTTGCCTTATGATTCTTTTTTATTTTATCTTTGTGGGAGCTACATTAAATTTAATAATTTGGTAGAAGAAGAAATAATTGTATATTAATTATTAGTCTTGTTTAACCGTCAGCTTTCAGCTCTAAATTTTAGAATAATAGCAGCAGGAAAATTATGCATCGTTTAGGAAATTAGCATTTGATTGTTCAAAATAGTTACAGTTGAATATCAATAGTTGAATATCAAAATTGTGTTTATTAGCTATGCATTATGAAGTTCGATATTTCCGTTTAAGTGATGAAATGATGAAGAGAATGGTACTTATCACGAATTCATCTGATGCAGAGTAGAAGTACGTGCAATATAAAGTTGTTACTTCGATTCCGTTTTAGCATTCAAGTAAATATAAGTACCATTACGTTCGTTTCGAAGCTAACCGGCTTTCACGGCTTCATATCAACTACTCCGAAGTATCCACAGATTCATTGAGTGGATCAAAGATTGCAAAGATCTTTCATAATTAAATGCTAACTCAGAAATCTCTCCCATATCCATCATTCCAGCGGAATTAATTCTGGATCTGCTTCTGCTATTTTGCCGTTACTTTTGAAGACTCTCTTCATCAAGATATTTTCTTCTGGATGATAATATAGAAAATTCTATTTTTTTTAAGAATCTAACAAGAGTCAATATTCAATAGCGACTTTTATTATTATTGTCTATGTGAAATCGATATGGCATACCTGAAAAATTTCGACTCCATTAATATTAATTTGTAATTTACTACCATTTTGAAAATGGTAGAAATTAATTAAATGAAGTAGAAGAACATGGTGAAAATGAGAGACAAATTTTACACAGAAAATACATGAACACTCTCAATTACTAAATTCGTATATGAGTATACTATTTCTCATTGGAAACCTACTAATGCCTGTATAGTTCACACAGAAGGGTAGAACTTGGCTTCCGGAAATTCTCACGAGCACCTGTACCCGTGGATCCAGGTGTTTCAGTGCCAATTCAATAATACGCTGCTGTGGCTCCTAAATGCTTAACGTTCCACTATCTCGTATTTTGAAACGTTTTTACTGTATTCAAACGGGTTTCTATTTGCCGAAGGAATTGGTCTCGTGACCTATAATTGGTCATCATTTTCCTTTTCGACGCAAAAACATTTCACTTTACACTGTCCATTTAAATACAAATTCATTATTTTTATTTTCATTCCATTCTCCAACTAATTTCTTCTGATAAATAGTACGTGAAATAATGAAGGAAAAGTACTAAACGTTTCATAGTGCAACAGATTTTCACCCTGTCGTTCACGGAACCTCGAAAATTGAGTATAAATTATTCAAAGAGTATAGGTTCGATTCGTCGATGTTTAATTAAAACTGTCATTGGAATATAATCGTCCATGTCACGTGTTACTCGAAAGTATACACCGGTGTATGCAGTTACACGCTATACATCATTTTGCTAGCTGCTTCTTAACGAGTCATGAGTAGTGTAATGTGCAATAGGTTGATTGAGTATTCCTCGTTCTACACTGATTAATGTCTTCCTCATCTACTTGGTAGCTATTGTTCTTAGAGTGCAGAAATTAGAACAACACTTCACGTTGCAAAGCAGATTTTGCCTGCAGAATATATCTTGCCTATCGTGTCTGACCATTATCTATTATTTTCACTTATCTTAACGTTTTTATCAAATAAATTTCAAAGCAAATTTTCTTAACAATATTACAAAATAAAAAAGTTTTATTCTTCAGATTACATTAGATTTGTAATACGCTTTCTGCATATAAATAAATTATTTGTGAGGTCATATACTAACAACATAACAGGGATCTTAAAAGATCAAGATAGTTTTAAAATATTCTGATTAAAATCTTTGCCTATATAGGGGTCGCCTTGTTATTCGCTATGTAAAATATGTGCAGCAACGTCGATGTCTATGTACAAGATGTACTCGAATCATGAGATGGAATGTCGCTAGTTTGGCTAGTTTGAGGAGTGTACAAATGTTAGGTATCTTCGTCTAAGACAGATGAGAATGGAACTATGCTACAAGTGCACAGTAAATGTTCAAGGATTTATGCGTCTCTAATAGAGATTCCTCCGAATTCCGGCACGTCTGTCACAAACACGCTGTATCATGATGACGGTCCATTATGGAGAACTATGGAAATTTATCGTATGCCCAATCAAGACTACATCACGAGTAATCGAACTCTATCACAAAGTTTAATGTGCGAAATTTAGTTCAAGAGGGTAACGTATCCGAAAACAATGCGTTTAACTTCTATATATCTGTAAAGATCTCTTGTTATACTGAATCTTAAGGGGCCATTTTGAATTTGAACAAAAAGTACTTAAAGTTCATAAGGTTTTAATAATTTTTAATCGGATTTTACGAATCAGTCGAGCCTAATTGTGTCCATTATACACCGGCGTTTTGTGTTGAATTCAGTGAGCGCAGTTGACAGAAGTTGCGTCGACGTATGCAGATTTCAGCAATGTCTAAAGTTTTCAAAACAATCTCGGCGACACACGGCAACTATTTTCGCGGCTCGCAGCCCAATTTACCATGAACCCAACGGGACCATTACCAGCCACTCGAACTAGGAATGGCGATCAAAGTTTAATTGCACCCTTATCGAGCAGTTATACCGACTAACAAACTGCAACTTGTGCAGGAGCAATTGCTGTGACGAACTATTTGCTTCGCTGCCGCACAAATGTTCTGGAATACTAACTTTCTCCTTCGGTAATGATTGTACTATTTTGTCACATTGTAATTTTGAAAAGTATATATATTCGATCGATCTATACTTGATATAGACTTGATTTCAATAGTACGATCTATACTATAAAAAGGGTAAGAGATTAACTTCACTCTATAGGATGCTAACATTTATTGGTCCTGTACATCGAATTATACAGATCAGATTTGAATATACAGCGTATTAGACAAATGTATCAAGACAAATAGTTGCGTCATGATATTTAGTATCCTCCCTTTTAAATTTGTTATACAAGATTAAATTTCGGATTTAATAAACTTTATAAAGTACATGTACGCACTTTTGAAAAATTAATAGGTATAAATAAGTAAGACAGAATGAGAGAACTATTTGTTCGAATACATTCGCTTGGTGCTGTACGCATTAAATAGATTGTTTGCTGGACAAAACGAATAGATCGTGTCTTTGATATTGTGTACCATTCGTGAGAAATTCACGTAGAATGTATGGACGTTGTAAATAGTACCATTCTTGTCGTATCAATTTAATAATAATAATAATAAGAAATTATTTTTTCTTAGTAAGAATGCATAGATCATGTCAATCATCATTATCGTTAAATGCTCGTATTGACAGATCCACGAGTTCCAAACAATATTTTTCACATATAACATAAATCGATATTGATCATTGGTGTAAAAATTAAATCTTGATCGTATATTTATATACTAAATTTATCGTGTACAACGAAGTAGGTAACAATATAATCATGTTTAACCTATTAGACATTTCGCAGTGTCCTCATCTCGAATGCGATTCAATAATCCGTGTGTGAATGAACACATTCGAAGAAAGACGAAATTAACAGTATGAAGGTAGAACTTCTGAGTACATAGTACTCAAAATATCGTGCACAGTGTCACATAAGGAATTTAGTAATTGCTCATATACGTAACGTACGCTTCTCGATAATAATAGGTTTGCTCTTTTTGGAAACACTCGTTTCCAGAACAAACGGAAAATGTAAAAATATATATGACAACGTGTATCAAGGTTCCTCAGAATGCATGAAGACGATGTGTAAAGCTCTGGTCTCAGTTATTTCATTTTGTGCTCATTTTACTCGCTTTTGTTGTCTTTGGCGGTATATGTCATTTGCGGGAGGTGGAGGTAAATCTTCTTCTTCACTGTCGTCACCTCCCAAACGCGTCCTTCTCCGTTTCGAACCGATACTGACACCATCGTTGCTCTCATCAACGATCCAATGCACTGATTTCGCGAGGTCAAACAACTTTGTGTCACATCCATTATCTGCTACCGGTAATGGGGCTGAAAAGGAGAATAACGTTTATTGTATTCCTATTATGTAAGTTCAACGTAAATATGTAATAAAAATGAGAATTACCATGTTCTGGTAACTGAATTCTATTGAAAACGTCCATGAGTAGATCAACTGCTACAAACGGACCCCTGAAACAACCAGGTGGTGGGAGCATGGTGCAAAGTTGTGCTGCTGCCGGCGGTAACGGGAAAGATCCTCCTGAATGATTAACAATTAATGTTGTCCATAGATATAAAAAACGTTAATAGAAATACTTACCGGGTACTGGATGTTCTCCAGGTAGCGGGTTTACTTTTGGTTTGTAAGGAATCATTTGTGACAAATCAGGTCTGGGTAAGGATGCTATAGCTTCCTCGGGATCGGGAATTCGCGGTAATACACCAGCTGTACTTCTGGCAACACTAGATACTTCCATATACCCTATAGACCTCAACTCCATTGGAGTACAAGGGTATAAATCCAAAAACTTATACCTGTCTACTAATTGTGCAGTTTCTTTGCCCTCAAATTCTTTAATCTAGACGAATAAATATGATATTATCGAAAAAATGTATGAAGTAGAAGTAAAGTGTATCATTCTCACTGCAATACCTTTTCTAAAACTGCACTTCGCCTTTTTTCAACTTTAACAATACTAGCCAAATCACCGATATTTGACTCAAATTCTAAAAACCGATTCCATATGTCACTAAAAAAAAATGTTCATAATATTAGCTATAAAATAAATGTCTAGTATATTGAATGTAGTTACGCGTTACATACACTGATTTCTCTGGTTCTAAACTACCAGAAGATAAAACCCTCTCAAATAAAACTCTTGTATTATTATCCTCTGGAAAATGAGATAAATTGTTACAATAAAATCTTGGAAATTAAAATTTATTTTACAAGCAAGTCTATATATTTTACCATTTAAATGCGATAAGTAGTCGATGTAACAAAGTATATAATCAGGGTTGTCTCCGAATTTTTTTAAACCCAATTCAAATATCCGAAATGCGATATTTTTATCCTTAGTACAATAATATTCCATTAATGCAGCAGCAACGTATACATGATGTTTACATCTTGGATCTTCCCTCGCTCTTTTAAAGACCGTTCTAGCAGACTTTATACCTTCTGCGCGTCTGGCAAATTTCATATACTGTACAAAAGCCTATAAAACGTTATTTATAATAATAATTTCATTAATATAACACGAATAAACGATGTATGTAATTTAATATTCATAAAAAATAAATACTAACTAATGTAGGATCGATATCGGGTATATCAAGGAACTTTTGATATATTTGATGAACTTTTTCATATTTTACTCTTCCTTCTTCAAAATCTGCATGTGCAAAATATAGTAACATATTTTTTGATAATAGTGTGCTAGTTGCCCTTTCAAACATTGTAGCAGCTTCGTCACTTAAATTTTTTGCGGCATTTACATCCCCTTTTTCCGTTAATATTTTTGAACTCAGTTCTAAGAAATGTGCAGCTTGATGCCATACTGCAGGATGATGACCCAGACATAGCAAACATTGTTCAATAGCAAACATTACTCTGCGAGCAACTAAGGAAGTATCTTCTGTTCTTAAGGGATTACTGCGTTCCCAAGCAATGTATTTTTTCCACAGTTCCACCTAGATGATATAATATATGTTCCATTACTGAAGAAACATTCCCTTTGTGACAGATCCAAAGAGTAAAGAAATCTACCTGTTTAACTTCTTCTGGATGTCCGGTCGGAGGAACACTAGGAGCACTCCTATTTAATCCTCTAGTTACAGCTTCCAATTCCTTAGCAACCCGTCTAGCATTCATGTAATCTCTAGAACGTTCAATCGCCATTTTCTCTGCAATTATTGGGTTAATATTTTGTTCAAATGCCATATAATCTTTCCATAATTGTTCCATATTAATCATAGGATTAACAACACCGCGTTGGTATACCTACAATTTAAGTAAATATGAATAAAGCATTAAATAAAAGAGTTATAATTAATATATATTTACTCAATATAATTAATCACCTTGCGTACTGCACTAATTTTCTGATTTTCAGCATATGAACCAACTGCTTCGACACTTTTCAAGAACATAACATAGTCATTCCAAATACTGTACGAATGAATATCCATTCCAATTTTGTCCAATGCAAAATCATATGCTTGTGCCATTTTTTCCCTATGAATTTATTATTATTTAATTATACTAATGATCTATTATAAAATCCATTAGGAATACAAATACTTACTTATATGTTGCAAGACTGGCTTTTGTTTCTTTGACATAAGAAAGGTAAAGTTTCCACAACTCAATATTTAAGATTTTCATGAGGCACCTTTGGAATAGCTGTTAGAGAAAAGAACTATTTTAGAGCCAACATCAAGAGGGGACATACCACTGACATGAAGATCACTCAAATGTGGGCACGGAAAACATATCTACCACCTTACTTACCCAAATAGGCAAGTTTTTTTTGTATTACACATATATTTAAACATTATCAATAATATCAATAAGAATCACATCGAAAGATCAGGAAGCAGAAATTCAATAATTTATTGATGCAAATTCTTAATACAATCACTACTACAATGTTTGTATATAATGGGAGAAATAATAATGCACCAATGCATCAAGTTAGAATGGTTTATTACATAAACATATAGTTTATTTGTTAATAATTAAGAAAGAAACTTCTTCAGACATGAGATTATAAAGGTAACATAAAATATACCCCTCAAAATAAAAAACTTTCTTTATTTTTTGCAATTGGGGTGATAATATAATAACGTTTCACCTATGTGGGATCGAGAAATGAATGATCCCAAAACATCATAAAAAAATTTAGACAGTGCGAAGCAACATAAGGTGATACAAATATTTAACTTATTAGTCATGAATCTTCTGTACAATAGATGTAAAAGATGTTAAAATATATATCACCCTATGCTACCTCTGTGTATGTTTCACAATAGTTGAGAATGTTTCTCAAATATTGTTTAAGGGGAAGGTAAGTATATATAACTTTCAAAACTTGTTTGGGAATCAACAAAAGTACGCTATCAAGATTTCCTCTGTATCATATGTAAAGACACAAATATAATTGCACTACTTTCCTACTGAATATTTATTTATAATTACTATATTTTATATGATATCCAATATAGGTTGTACACAATGTGTATCATGATTTTTTTACTAGAACAAGTAACACAATCCAAGCACAGTGAAAAATGTGTTGCAGGAAGGAATATAAGGCTGTTAGATTCAGGAAGCTGTCTTCATAAGTTGATTACACTAATAATATAAAACTTCTGCTGTTAAATACATCAAACTTATCATATTGATTATATGCTTTCTAAAAGATGTAATATTCAACAAAGAAAACAACCTCCCAAATATATCAACAGATCAATCATTAATCAATGAAATATTTGCTTATGGTGAAATATTGTTTTTATTCACCTCATATAATATGCAAAGTGCTCAGAGTCACATTATACGATAATACTTGATCACAATGGATTAATAATAACTTGTCATTGTCATCTATAATCCTACTGCACTAAGAAAATCGAAGTATATTTTTTTGTATACCACTGTTAAGTAAAAAATTTTCCTATTTTATAGGATTACTCAAAATATGTAAACGTTCTTCATTAATTTATAAAAACATGCACATAAATATAAGTCAATATTAAAGAAAAACTTCACCCAATAGTCTTGTTTCAATTTTAATACTGAAAAGTCTTTGTGTAACTTCGAATGAACAACTTAAACAATACATATAACTAGAAATTTACCAATATATAATGCTTTCATAAAATTTTGAAACTCTAACAATATTAACATACCTTTTCCACCTTCTCAAAGTTGCGCATTTTCATCTGCAACATTCACAAACATAATAAAATAAAATTTTGTCTCAGAAGAAGAACTTATACCTAAATTGCATTACTTAATGTATAAAAATAAATGTAACACCATGTATTTTACATTATTTCTACAAAACATTTATCATAAAAAGAATATATAAATATTACCTCTTGTTCTATATAAATCTTCCAATAACGACCAGCTGAAGGAAATACAGTAACAAGTTTCTCAAAAACTGGCCTCACTTCTGTAATAGGTCTGTTTTGTGCTTCTCGAATGAGAATGCTCCATGCTTCCAAATCATAAGGCGACTCATCTACCGTTTTTTGAGCACGTTGCAGTTTCTCGTTTCCCCAGTCCTAAATAAAACAAAGATCAACATAATTAATTATATTAAATTCTAAATATAATAGAAGATACATACATGAATACAAAAAAGTGAGGTTATATAAACCTAATTCGTATAATCAATAAATTACAAAAATTCACTTACGAATTCCGTTTTATCGTCAGTCATTTTCTAATATTTTCGACGACGCTGATCCCCTGCAATAAAAAAAAAGACTACCACGTATTAACGAGAAACACAAGCGAATAAAATTCTCTAACAGCCAACTCACAATTGCCCTTTATCTCCTGAAAGGAGCACGAACTACAATATCGATTAGATTCGATCTATCGTTCTTTTAGGTTATTCGAGTTCCACTTTACGATATAGCCGTTAATAATGATGAAGTAATATACGATAAAAGGACAATTAAATTTGTGTGAGTCTCTCATACAAAATATAAATTTTTCATAATTATTAATTCCAACATTTTAAGTAAATAATCAATTCTTTCTAGGCATAGTTATAATTACTGGAACAATGATTAACCGCCATCTATGAGAAACTATTGAATTGCATCAATAAATCCATAGACTTCAGATACATAGGTATCTACAGACGGTGCATGTTATGAGAATTTTTGTCTAGGGTCTTCATTGAGTAAACTCTACATTAAAGGTACATTAATTTGAATGAAAATATTAAATTTAAAGTATTAAAAGCTGATTAAATTCGAGATATTCCCATCGATGCCATTCTTGTTTTCGCTTGTGTCAGATACTGTCTGAAAATACGTCTAAGTCAGTGGTATTTCAGTAAGTAGTTCATAAACTGATGAGAAGAGGACACTACAATCAGTTCTAAATTTTTGTTAGGAAAAAACTGTTGTAAAAATAATATTTTTTAAGTAGATCGTGTCCTCAATTATATATTTACTTATTTAATATCTTACTCAGAATATAAGAAAAAAATATAAAAAAGACACAGTACGGTATATAAAATTATAAAAATTGTATTTGACAGAATTAAATAATGCTTCTAATAAAAAATTGTCATACTAATCATATAATAAAACTCATTTCGTTCAACAATAAGAACTAAAGTTCAGCTTATAAGAAAAGTACTTGAATCAATATATACTCTGGCACACATCTATTCAAACGAGTTTTTTAGTTACCTTGAGCGCATTTCAAAAATCTGCAAATTAAATTTAGACTTTCTATTACAGATAAAAGACACGTGTACACGGTCAGCAGTAAACCTGTCCGTAGCCGCATAAATTCTTCTCACTTCGTTCAGGAATTACGTTCTTAAATCGTTAAAATATTAAATTACTCAAAAACAAAAAAGAAACAGAGATAAAAGGAATAGAACTCGATTTTTCCGATCCGTTACTCGAAATGCCCTCCTTAAGAATTCAACTGACGTTGGCCGGCGCGTACGTGCAGATCTAAAGAGGAAATTTATTGGTGAAAGTTTCGTGAAATGCGCGCTGCCTGCAGACTATCCCTCCTCTCCCCATGTTTTTTTTTCTTCTTCTTCGTTCGCCGCTGATACGCGACGCCGAATATTTATAACTGGCAATCAATCAAACCGTATCGAACGTACCGCGCTGCCCGCGATCCTTCCGCGCCGCTCAGCAAGGTGATTGTCCAACACGTGAAAGGCGCATTTTATCAGTTTACTCTTGTCGCTTTCGCTTTTCTTCCTTTTTAAGCGATTTATTTTCTTTCACCGCGGCGAATCCCGCGGCGACACGCATAAGTGGAGATACGTAATGCGCTCGCATTGAATTTAATGATAGCACGTCGAGGTGAGCGTTCGCTTGATCACCGGTCGCACTTACACGCTTGTGCATCACATAAATTACCGAGGACATCCGTGCCATTTACAAAGCTGAGCCTTGATGAGTCGAATCGCCTGATTACCATATGTTTACCGTGCGCGCCGAGTTCTATTGCGGCGGGCCCCGCAATAATGTGGGATAAATTATAGGCCTGTAATTCATTCTGTCTCCGTTAGGAAAAGGAAACGCTTATGAAGTTTTCACCCAACCCGTCGGTTCTTAAGTCGCACGCCTTCTGACTTATTTTAATGAACCTATGTGTTAATTTCTACACTCGCCCGACCGCTCAGCTATTATGCATAGTATACGCGCGATCCATGCGATATCATCGAAATCACGCTCGCGTTGTCGGTTGCTCGCAGCTGCGAAAACCTTCGACTAATTTGTATTTCTTCCATCCATTGTTATATTCTTGTGAAATTTAATCTTCGAAGGAAATCAAAGGTTTTAAGACAAAACATTCAATGCGCGTTAACTACGATAATTTCGAAATCATTTCTCGTGGAAGATAATTGCATGAACTCTTCTAAATAAAATAATATATATTTTTATTATATTGAGAAGCATTTCAATACGATTAATGATATTACTTGATTAATCACCGTTTAGTACCATTGGTATACGGTTATTAACTATTTCTTAATGATATGTAATGAAGCAACACAGACTGTTCATTGTACAATAAGATATATCGCAATTGTTTTATCGTGATAATACGTCATATGAACTTGAAACAAATAGATGAAGATATTTGACATCTAAACGTAATATCTGAAACGCAGCGTGTGTGCCCCACTGTAAAAATCGAAGCTCGCGGAACGCGATGAACAATTTATTCAACCGGTTTCATCTATTAAGCGTGCATCAATGCGCGTGAGAGTGTGGCCTAAACTTTATCGGCGCTCAGTCTCATTCACCCGTAAGCATCCGTACAATTATGATCTTTATTGAAGATAAAATATATACCCCGGATAAAAAGCGGTATCGTAAACTATTACATCTTATTACATCGTGGCTTACTCTAACGATATATCGCGTAACGCTGCTCATTGTATCGTAAAATTAAATAGCGTGTAACGAAACGTTGCGTCTCCATGAGCGGCCGTGAAGGAGAACGCAGGGAACCGTAGGTGCTATGCGTTATTACAAACAATATCCATGCACGCAATCGGTCGTCCCGATAGGATGAAACGTTAGATGTTGTAAATTTCCGCGCTGGTTGTTTACTATATTTATGGGGAAGTAGTGGAAAGCAGTTTCTGTCATTTATTAGCGCGAACATATCTCCAACTGTTCGACTCGTTCGTTTCGATTGGAAACGTCGAACACGCCGGCCCGATATAAATTATGATCGCTATCTCTCTCGCCTAGTCACCATCCATACTACTCAGACGCCCGCTCGAAATCCTGCTAATCCCGAGAGCGGCTATCGATAACCTGGTTATATTTTGCGTGTCAGCTCGTAGTTTCCTTTCGGTTCTCATTCATCGGTCATTGCGAAACAATGGCCGTAGATAAGTCACGCCGAGAATCAGTTGAAATTGCGGGCCTCACGTATTATACACGGCCTGTCGCGAAAATAATCAAGGACGGCTGGATATTTCGGCGAAAAAACTTGCCGTTTTATGAACGACATGTATTGCTCTTGCGGCGTCGACGACGATTTGTAGCGTCGAGTAACGCCGTCCTGTGACTGAGTTTTAGGATGCCTGTGGCGCCATTTTGTATGTTTAGCGTTTTGTCGTGGTGCCTTTGCTTCAGATCGAAGGAAAGGGTACAGTGAGTGACACAATACGAAATAAATAACGTGAGATGTAATCGAACGTCTGAATTTGAGATTTTATTCGATGATTTCGAAAAGAGTTTGATCTGAAAAACAGTCGAAATCGGATAGAAATGGGAATGAAATGAAAGAAAGTTTTAAAATTACAACTTATATGAATGCTGTGTTTGAAAATAGATAAACTGAATAACTAAAACTCAGAAAAGCCAGTTGAAATCGAATAGAATCGTTCACAATTGAATATAAAAGATTAAAACCCTATGTTACCTGTTACAACCAGGTCGAACCAGTTGTAACCCATCGAAAACGAATGTGACCGGTTCAAATCGGTAGAAACCGGATGAAACCGGTTAAAACCAGTTCAAAGTGGAATAAAGCGGATCAAAATGAATAAAAGTATTGAATTGTGAATGTGGACGGATATAAAAAAGAGAGAGAGAGAGCGTGCGATTTACGAGACTCGTGCGTATTCGTCATCTCTCCCCTATGTCGTTTCTCCGCGTTAAAAAAAAGAGATATTTTCGAGTAAATATACTATCTGAAAATTGTTGGCACAATTTATTATTCCTACCAATTCTTCGAACCTATCGGTTTACTAAACGTTAGTAACACAAAAATAATGTATAGATTTATAAATAATCCTAATTTATATGCAAATTATTTTCATTTAAATGAATAATTTTAATGTTAATTACAGATTTCTACTGTATAAGATCCCTGCCATTGCAATATGGATACTGAGAAAGAAATTAACGTGCAAGTCGTAATGGAAAGTCCTAACAAATGTAATGATAAAGAAATTCTGTGGAAAGATGGTTACCGACATGTTTGTGAAATGAAAGGAGAACAGGCATTCGTCTGTTTCTGGAAACTGTTAATTTTGCGAAATCGATTCCACGTTATGTAATCCGTTTGGAGCGGATTTAGGGCAGCACCGTTTATTAGCTCTTCCTTATCTATTGCTGTTCATTCATTTAGATTGGAAATGCTGAATACTCGGGCCGGGTATAAATTACGATCGCTATCTACTGCCTTGTCACTATACATACTACTCGGAGACCCACTCAGAGCTCAGCTACCCCAGTAGCAAAGTTTATCACGTGAGAATTTGTTACACGCCGACAGATTTACATAGCAGCACCTCCATCCTTCTAATTTCGGACCTGTTATTTTGTAATTCATCATTTTCATACCTACTTGTCCTCGATCATCGCTTCGTTTCCCGATTACATTTTTATATTAGCACGATGAAGATATCCGGACAACAGAACTCAATTTGAACATTATAGATTTATATACGTATACGTAAAAAGTATAAATCGGAATTACAAATTTTAACCGTAAAACAGACTACGTTTATCACACTTCTGAACACCTGAAATATTTTTAAATACAAAATATAATGAAATTCAGTGACATCGATGGAGAATTTATCAGCGTGAATCACTTACGATTCGAATTATACCGAAAAGTGATTAATCGTTCGACCAATAGTTTTTCATCTACCTTCACGCTACCTTAAATTATAATACTTCTCAAATAATGTTAAAAAGTAATTTTGTGCCACATAAAACAATCTTATCCCATGT